ATAAATATAAATATAAATATAAATATAAATATAAATTAAAAAATATATATGTTGGGTTGCAAAAAGTGTATTACAATGAAATCTTGCTCATTCACGCTTGAGAGGCTTTTGGCACAACTAGAAAGCAGAAAACATATTAGGTTTATGTATATTCATTTTATACTACGAAATGACTTGTTGATAACAGCGTGTAGAAAAGATGTACTACAAATTCGGATTTAATGTTTTGGCTGGTCATATATCGCAGAATTCAAATACCTGAGCATGGAACAAGGAGTTTGGTAGCTGCAGAAATACCGAAACGACGTGTTGAGGAAACAGCAACAAGAAACCGAAACAGCAAAGTGATCACTGTTAAAACAATTTTCATTTTCGATATCGTTTTCTGGACCTACAGTTTTAGAGGATAGCTCAAAGACGTTACCTCATAGGACTGCTGGAAATAATAGGTCAAGAAAAAAAAATATTGTTTTTCAAGTTACGACTTAAAATGGTTTAGACTAATTTATAAGCAAGGAACGACTGTATTTGGTTGAACGACTATAAACAGAATGCGGAGGTGACTGCAGATTAGTAGTTGAATTCACCAGACCGCCAAACTGGAGAAACAGTTCTATGCAGTTTTACAACCGTAAGATACCTCATCTAAACGGATGAGTAACAATTGTCACCTATCAGTACTGATTCGTTTAGAATTTGTACCTTTTTTTAGTCATTCATTTTGAACAGTTTTTGAAAATATATGTCAGAATGTCAAAATGTCAAAAATAATAATAATAATAATAATAATAATAATAATAATAAGTATTAGTTATTGGTATTACTGTTATTATAATATCATTGATAATATAATAATAATAATAATAATAATAATAATAATAATAAAATTGCAGAAAGAAGTGGTTTCTTTCTATTGTCTAAAGTTTATTATTTTTTTACATAATTGAAGCTGATTAGTTAGGTGTTGAAAAAAAAAAAAAGGTTTTTGTAAGTTTATTTATTTGTTATTAATCAATTGACATATGTCAGAAGTATCAGGTTGTTCTAGTTAATTTATAGATTAAAACTAAAAGTTGTTTTTTTTTTTTTATTCAAAACACTTATGTCGACGACAATTTAACAACTTATTTAAATGCCTAAAAAAAATTTTTTTTTTTTATTTTTTGCATTTTTTATATTTTCTATGCAGTTTTTTGTATTTGCTTAAACAATTTGAGATTTTGTTGCCTATTTGAGAGGTACACATTTATAGCATTAGTATAAGCTTTCAATTGTACAGTATACATTTATACAAAATTTGTTGTTCTCTTTCGCTGTTATTTGGGTAATACGCTTTTTGTTGTTCTTTTGAACAATGGTACAGTGAACGAATGTATCAGATAAGGCAATAATCAAAAATTAGTTAAAGTTATATAAAGAAAAAAAAAAGATTATTACCATTATAAAAATTAATCAACTGAAAATTAGAAAATAGAAAACAAAAACGTATTCGATAACAATTGTATATTATTTTGAAAAAAAAAATTGTTGAAGCTTTAATATATTTGTAAATTTTTTTTTTTTGGCACGAAGGAAGGAGAAGGAGAAAAGGAGAAGCGAAAGTAAAACTGTTGGATACTGCTGAGTGCAAATCAAAAAAATCTTTTGCTGATATAAACAGTTAAAAAAATTGGCTTTATTCTTCCATTAAATTTTGTTTCTAATAACTATTTCAGTAAAACTTTATATTAGGTATTAAGTTTTTCTTCTCATTTGTTTATTTTTTTTTTTTTAAATTATATATGTATAGATGAAATAAAAAGGAAGAAACGAAGCAGTGCATTTATTGTCAACTGTAATAGCCATTTATCACGTATTGTTGAAACAAAAAAAAATCAACCTGATATTTGGCGGATACACAAATAACAACAAAGGAAGTTTTTTCTTTTTTTTTTTTTAAATAAAAATCGGTATATTTGACTGGAAAAAAAAAGAGGTTATTTTTTTGTTCGGAGAGGAAATATGGACGATTATTGGCCAACAAACAACTTTACAGCTGTTTTCAATAAGAAATACACTTCCAAATTGAATTCTTTGAAACCAAACAATTGTGGTCAAAGAAATGATTTTGATTATCAATTTGGAAAACAAAAGACAAATTTGAAGATATCTTCTTAATTTTTTTTTTTCTTCAAAAAAAGAAAAAA